AAAAACAGCAGCAAACATTCATGTCAGCTCCAGGCGAGAGGGGACTGGGCACTTTGAGTGTGGGGGCCAAAAACAATGTCCCGAGGGCATCCGGATGCTGGGTGGGTTTGCATGATCATGTCTGGTGAGGACGAGCAGGGTGAGCTGTGTGCTGTGGCCAGTCCTGAGGTGCACTGGCTTTAAGGCTCCCTGGCACTCCTGGGCACAGCAGTGACGTGGCAAATAGGTGGCAGAATGGACAACAGCTCCAGAGAGGTGTTTTCCCATCTCACCATTGCTGACAGTCCTGGCAGAAGCCAGATTTGATCTGCGAGGTGCAGGGGAAGCAAGGAGGGGCATTTCCAGCAGTCTTTTCTGGGAATGTCTGCTGCAATTACCCCCTCATATGGCTGGGAACCAAGACTTTGGAAACACCCGGATTGCACAATGCCCTGGCCAGAGCTGCCACCCACAGCCCTGGCAGCAATAAAAAGGAGAAGGAGCAGGAGCATTGGCAGAGTCCTGCAAGGAGCACATCCCCAGGTACATCAGCTGTCTGCCTGCTGCAGAGATGGTGCAAGTAACTCCATATCTCCTGCTGCTCATCCTGGCCCTGGGGGCTCACAGCCTCCCTCCAAAAAAGGTAAGATCAGGTCTGGGATGCAGAGGGCAGGATGGGCAGGGTGGGCAAGGGCTGCAGGCTGTGCTGTGGCACCAGTACTGAGTCCCCTCTGCTGCAGTGCAACCTGATCGGGCACTGGGTCAATGACCTGGGCTCCACCATGAAAATCTTGGCTGTGAATGGAGACGGTGTCTTCTCTGGCTCCTACCTCACGGCTGTGTCAGCCACCACGAACGAGATCAAGGTGTCACCACTACAAGGGTCTCTGCAACGCAGAAACCACAAGGGTCAGCCCACCTTTGGCTTCACTGTCAACTGGAGCTTTTCAGGTACTTCTTTCCCAGCCTCCCTGGTGTGTCTCCAGACCTGCTCTGCCCTCTCTGCTGTGATGCCCTTGAAGCTCTTCTGCCCTTTCCTGCAACGTCCTTGCTGATTCTCTGCCTTCCCCTGCACTGTCCCAGTACTCTCTCATCCCCTCTGGTGCCCCTGATGCTCCCCCAGCCTTGTCCCTGGAGCTCCTTGGCTGCTGTCACCTCCCAGTCCCAGTGTGCAGGAGATGCAACAGGAGCTGAAGCCCACAGCTGTCTGCCCATTTCCATGCAACACCCCCAGCCCTCTGAACCCTCCTGCCTGCTTTCCACATCCCCAATGTCCCAGGGACCAGGGACAGCAGGGCTCTACTGTCCCATGTGCTGGGGCAGGCACTGACCTGCCACCCTGGCCATGCTCCACTCCCCCTCCTGTCCTGTCGCTGCAGACACAATCACCGTTTTCACGGGACAATGCTTTGTGGACAAGGATGGAAATGAGACTTTGAGGACCATGTGGCTTCTGCGGTCACACGTGGATGACATTGAAGATGACTGGAAAGCCACCATGTGAGCTCCCTGTCCCTGCCCTGCACAGGCCCCCTGTGCATCCCTGGGGGGGTTGGAGCTGTTACAAATGAGTGGTTTGTGTTGCTTCCACCGTCACTGTCAAAGGTGTTGGCAAAAGCAGGTTTAATATCAGTTTGCAAAAGCGTGACTCAGCAAACTTCGATGGCAAGGTTCACTCTATTGCTTGCTTTGTGGGTAAAAGCATGTAAAAATAACACCCTCTGCAGGCCCACTAAGGTGAAAATGCTATGGGAGAATACAGGGCTGGGTGGGCATTTGGACATTGTCATTTCCCACCCTCACATCTTCTTCTGTGTCCCTGCAGGGTCGGCACCAACATCTTCACCCGTGTGCAGTCGCAGAGGGAGTGACAAGGGCAGCAGGGGCATTCCCAGGCCAGCAGCAACACTGGGGGGGGGAAGCCCCCACTCCTGCCCCACCACTTCTTTCTCCCAATAAAGCTTTGTTGCAAACCCCCACTGTCTCCTGTCATGATGTTGAAAAATGTGGAATATGTAAAAAAACATTCTTAAGAAAGGATGTTCTTTGATGTTTGATCTTTGTATGTTTTCAAGCCTGATCAACAAAAAGGGAGATTTCATCCATGAAACAGATAGCAGCTAACAAGCTCTAAGTGACATCTGGGTGTTAGAAATACAAATTACTTCTTGGTAGAATTGCCTCGTTATGGTTTAGGGCTGAACATGCTTCCATGACCTCAGACCTAGGGGGAGGTCAACAAATCTTGGGAAGAAGGATGTGCCACTGCTAGTGAACAAAAAGAATCCAGCATTTCGGGGCCACAAGGACATTTGGCAGAACCCCCAAGACAAGGAAGAAACTGATAGGGATAAGTCAGCAACTGTGCTGAACCAGCTCCGACTGGGTAGAAAATAATTCCGGCAGGGGGAGATTGTGACCACAGACTTATTGCCCACTGAGTCTGGAAACCCACTGACTTAAAAGAAGAGAAAGAGTGAGCCTGGAGACTACTTAGCATGAGAAATCAGAGAATCACTAATGAATAGCAGATAGATTAATAATTAATGGAAGAACTTTGTAGCCAAAGAACATTAATGCCCTAGTTTGCTAAAATGTATAAACAGGTAAAAGTGCTGAGAGCTGATGTGCTTGATTTGTGGAATACTCCTGAACACCCAGGCTTGTGCAACTCTGAGATAAATTATCAGGGTCACTGTCAAGTGTGTAATTCTTGGCTTGTTGCACATCAGGGAACAAATCCAATTATTCTGGACGACAATTCCATGGCTCAGCATGGCCATTCCCCCATCCCCCCATGGCATCACACAGTCCCTTCTGCCACCATACCTGAGGCCCAATGTGTGTCCCCTGCTGTGACCCTCCAGGATCCTCTTCTACAGCCCTGCCACCCCCCCATGGTCCTCAGGACCCTCTCAGGCCCAGGGCAGCCAGACCCCGCTCAGCTGGTGCAATGGCCGGTGGCCAATCTCCCACCGGGTGTCCTGTGGCAGGAGGCCCGGCAGGGGCGGCCGCTGCCCACCCACAGCCCCCCTGCTATGAAAGGGGCCGAGCGGGCGCGGGGCAGCAGCACAGGCAGAGCCACCACCAACAACACCACGGGGACCCTGGGCTGCTGCTGCTGCTCACCCTGGCCCTGCTTGTCCCCCACCAGGCTGCAGCCAGGAAGGTAAGGGCAGCCCTGGGGCAGAGTCTGGCCGTGCTGTGCTGTGCTATCCCGGGGACGAGGGTGGCTGGATGAGGTTGGACTCCCTGGCTGTGCCATGCTGTGCACCACCATCCCTGTGGTGCACTGTGAGCAGGCACAGGGCTGCCTGCTGTTGCTGTGCCAGGCTGTGCCATCCTGGGGTGCAAGGTAAGCTGCCAAGGAGGCTGCCTGCTCTTGCTGTGCTTTCTGGTGCCATGTTGTGCCGTGCTGTGCTGTGCTGCCCTGTGCTGTGCCACAGTCTCTTCTGCCATGCTGTCCTGTGCCATGCTCTGCCTGCCCTGGGGCAGAGTGTGCAGGGCTTGGGGGAGGGGGGTTTACATGTTTGCACTGTGCCATGCAGTGCTGTCCTGGGCCACCCCAGCTCACACTGTTTATGTTATTTCTGCCTGAGGGGCTGAATGCTCTGATGCAGCCTTGATGTACCCTGATGTGCCATCCTATGCCATCTCTCACACCATGCCATGCCATGCCATGCCATGCCACAGTGCAGCATGTGTGACCAAGGGGGCTGCCAGCTCTGATGGTGCTGTCCTTGTAGGCACTGTTGGTCACCTGCCCCTGGGATAGGGCAGTACCCAGCACCCCCAGCTCTCCCCTGCCCTGCCCAGGGAGAGGGAATTGCTGTCCCAGCTGGTGCCCATGCCATCATTCCCAGCTGCCACATGCAGGGGCCATGCCATGGGACACACATCCCACTGCTCAGTGAGGCTGCAGGGGGGACCGTGGCTCAGCAGTGCCTGAGGCACCCACACAACTCCCGGTCCCCAGTGCGACCTGCAGGGCCTGTGGAGGAACCAGCTGGGCTCCAACATGACCCTCTTGGCCCTGAACACAGCCGGCCCCTTCTCGGGCTTCTACCACACTGCTGTGACAGCCACCAACAAGCAGATCCTGGGCTCACCCCTGCAAGGGGCCCAGCAGCACCCCGGTGCCAAGAGACACCCCACCTTCGGCTTCACCGAAGGCGATCCCCTGCCCGTGCTGGGAGTGGGGAGTCCTCCAGCTGGTCCCCCCCAGCACCCAGAATGTCCAGAGGAACTCTGCCTGTGGGCAAAGACTGGCCACACACACTTGCTTCTGCCCTGGGACGTGGTGATGGGAGAGGTGCCTGTCTGGGCTGGGTTGAGGGGCTGTCTGTCTGGGAAAGGTGGCAGGGGTGTCCATCTGTCTGTCTGAGGGACATGGCAGGGTTGGTGCCCATCTGTCTGTCCGGGTGATGTGGAGCCAGCCCATCTGGCCAATCTGGCAGGCAGGTCCATCTCTCTGTCCAGGGAATGTGCTGCGTGGTATTTGTCTCTATGTCTGTCTGTCTGTCTGTCTGCCAACATCAGGTGGCCCAGGTGTCTCTGTCTTGAGGTGCAAGCTCTCAGCCCCCTCTGCCTCTCTCAAACCCTGCCAGACTCCACCACAGCCTTTGTAGGCCAGTGCTTTGTGGATCGCCGTGGCAAGGAGAGACTGGAAACCACATGGCTCCTGTGGGAAGAGGTCCCATCCCACAGGGACACCTGGAAAGCCACCAGGTGAGCCCTGTCCTGGCCCTCCCAACCCACAGCCCTCACTCCCCTCCTCCTGACACATCTTCCTTGCAGGCTTGGCACCTCCATCTTCACCCGCATCAAGTGATGGGAAAAGGGCCCAGAGCTGCCTGCAGCCTGCTGTGCTTCTGCATCCCCAAGGCTCTCCACTGTAGCAGTCTCAGGCTGGGCTCCTGCCTGCTCCCAGCATCCTGGGTGGGAAACACACCCTCACCTTGCCCTGCTTCTTCCCAGTGCCTCCCAGCAACGTGCTGCTGGGACTCCCCCTTCCCAAAGCTTGCTGCTCCCACACATGGAGCCAAATAAAGCCTTCTCCAGCTGGCAGAGAGCCGTGCCCCATGTGTCCCTGGGATGCAAGCAGCCACTCTGTGGACATGGGCAGAGCAAGGTGGGGGACGGGTGGTGACTGGGGGAGCAGAGGGAAGTGTTTTGGAGGGGCTGGGAGGAATGGGGCTGGGGGACAGCAGAAGTACAGGTGCTGGGTAATTCTGCTTCCTGACCACGGCTTCAGGCCTCAGCAGATGCCTTCTTGCCCATGCATATTTGGGACATTCACGGGGGCCTTGTGGTGGGTGGCCCCAGGCAGCATCCCCAGCATGGAGCAGCAGGATACCCCACAGCCAGGGATCAGGGTGAAGGCTGCATGCTGGCAAGCCACTGCTGTCACTTGGCCTCATCCTGTGTCTCTGCCTCCATTTCCAACTCCTGCTGTGGATGGTGGGCTTGGTGCTGCGTGCACATGTAAGGGAGAGCTGGGTGCCAGGCTCCAGAGATTGCAATGTGGGATGTTGGTGTGGTCCAAAACCCATGCTGGATACTGGAGGGAGCATGAGAGGGACCTGGAGCTCCAGGGGAAGCTGCTGGGTACACTGGGTGGCTAAAGCCAGCTACTGAAGGGGTCCATGGTCTATGTGCACAGCTCTGCATGTATTTCCCAACAATTGCCTGTCCCCTGACTAGTGAGAGGGTGGAACAGGGTACAGATCTTTTATGATGTTCAAATTCACATCTGTACCTTAAACTTTATTTTATGAGCTAATTAGGAATGGAAACAAACCAAACAGGGGCCCTTTGCACTGATATGACTAAGACTGGAACTCACTAATCCATCATTTCAGCAACTCATGAAGTTTCGTTAGTTACATAATCTGTACTGTGCAGCTCCAGCTCCTGCTCCTGAGCCTCACAGGGAGAAGCTGTGTGGGCAGGGAGAGGTGCAGAGCCTGCCTTGGACTGCAGGATGGCTGAGGGAAGCAATTGCCTGATGGGGCAGGGATTTTGGGGCAGAAAGCACACAGAGCCCCGAGCAAGTGCCAGGGCCTGTTGGTCATTCTCTTCCTCTCACAGTGTGCCTGCCCTTCCCCATCTTCCTCAGCCTCTGCTCCTCTCCCTCATTCCCTGCTGGTATCTTGAGCTGCTCTTAGCACCACACCAGCTCCCAAAGAGTGCACAGACTATCCAAGGGTTGCTTATACTGAGTACAACTGGTTGATGTGCCTGGTGGTCCAGCTTTTGGTCAAAAGCCAACCCTGCATCCTCATCCTCACCCTTGCATCCTTGTCTTTGTGCCCTCATCCTCACCCTTGCACCCTCATCCTCACCCTTGCACCCTCAT